CTGTATGTTCACTGTATGTTCCTTTACCTTTCTCTAATGAAGGCTTTTGTTAAACCACCAATGTATGTAATAAGTCATTTATGTCCAATGTATATTTTCAGCTTTCGGGCTGCAGAATTTTCTCAATAAACCGTTAATTATTATTATTATTATTATTATTATTATGAAATAATAGAACATATGGGATTAATTGAAACAGAGACTGGGCCGACCCCAAACTCCACTTTTTCCAACACAATACGTACCTTGTAGTCAAAATAACATCTTAATTTTATGATGGTATGCACACACAATTAATAATTAAGAGAAATATCAATAATATTAGGTTTTTTACACTTACGCTAGTAGAAAAGATGGCTGAGCACACGGGGATGGGGGGTTGGTTCCGAGGCAGAGGGCAGATTATTGGCCCTCACCTGTATCACTTGTATTAATTGTATCACTATCCACCACATAGGCTTGCAGGGCCTCTATGTCAAACCCCTCAAAGTCCATATCCTCACTATCACTGACTTGGGCCGGCTGTGGTGGGTGGCGAGTGAAGAACTCGGTAATGTTTTGATGACTGGGCGACCTTGTGCGCACCCTGCCCGCGTAAATGACCAAATTTACCGCGTAAATCAAGCATTTCAATTCTGGCAAGGCACTGCGTAAATGACCAAACCTCATAAATCCAGACTCAACTCTATTTCCACGCTAACCTGGGCCATAAGCTATGCCCCTCTTCTAGAAAAACAGCTGATTGGTTCATAGAAAATGTCCCTTTAGATGTCCATTTATTCAAACTAAATGTGTTCACAGTTGGTAAGCAGACCTGTTATTATCTAAAATAATGTTAAATATCTGGACTATCAAAATGCAAATGATTTCAAGGCATTAGCACTTCAGAGAGGTTGTTATAAAATTTTAAAGAATTATTATAAAAGGTCGAAGTCAAAGATGAGATTTGCTTTTGAATGAAGTCTTTTAATTATTTCTTTGTTTTGTACCAAACATAAAACAAACAGAAACAAATGACACCAAACATTTAGCACAATAGGTAATGAACTACAGTTTGTACAGCTGGATATATCCCAAATCATTTATATAACTGATAAAACTCTATATAAATACGCGCAGTCTGGGGGGAGGTGAAACGCTCAGGGAAACAGCAACTGGACTTGGCGGGAATTTCATTTATCTTGACGCACGGCACAACAGCCAGCAGACATCAACTGATGTCAGCACTGTGGTATTTAACCAACAAAAACATTTCTCACACTCACGAGCAGATTATTATATACTTTATCCACTAACTTGGCATCTCCCCATCTTAAATACTCCGTTGTAACAAAATTTAAGTAATAATATATGCTACGAAGTATTAAGAAGCGATGTAGAGGTTTAACATTTTCATCATCTGTCATCAAGTATCAAGAAATTTTGTGCAAATGAATGAAAATCTCGGCCAACAATGGACGAGGTATAATATATTTGTGTCTTGGTAGTCTGATGCAAGCTCTACCGTACTGGCAGTACGAGTCAAGTGTCCAGCTGATCTGTCACCAGCAGCTGATCACCGGTCGATGTGGCCGCAAAGTCAAGTATATAAGTGCATACAGTAGACCCTTGCCATTCACGAGTTTGTGATTCTCGATTTTGACCATTCGCGGTAAGCAGATGGTGGCTAGCTTGCAAGCCTTTTCCTGCAGCACAATGTATCACCCCACGCAGCATCTCGTGTTGTACTCTCAAAACTTTAGTGTTTCTGTATGAAATGGCCCCTTAAAGACTGCCTAGTGTCAGTGCTACTGATGCCAGTGGAGTGAAATGTAAAAGGCAGAAGTCAGTGATGACCGCAGCTGGTCGGTTCTTTGGTATAGGTATACAGTAGTGCACAAAGGTAGTAAAGTATAAGTTGCTATTCGCGGTTTTGCCAATTCACGCCTTTTCTTGGAACCTATCCCTTACGAATGGCAAGGGTCTACTGTATTTATATAGAGTTTTATCAGTTATATAAATGATTTGAGATATCAACTGGTTCATTTGGTAAAAATTTCTAACATCCTCTCTGAAGTGCTAAATGCCTTTAAATCATTTGCACTTTGATTTTCCAGTTATTTAACATTATTTTAGATAATACAAGCTCTGCTTACCAATTGTGAACTCATTTAGTCTGAATAAATGGACATCTAAAGGAACATTATCTATGAACCAATTAGCTATTTGTAGCTACTGACAAGGGGCATGGCTTATGGACCAGGTTAGTGTAGAAATACTATAGTACTATATCATAATGCACTGTGACAAATGACTCCTGTAGTGTGAAATAAATGTAATAAATTATACATCATTACATGCAATTTACTCATCATTATATCAATGCAAATTTACTCGTGCTTTTTTATAATTATTTCACCTCTTGACACTGTCGTCTTTAATAAAACTTAATAAATGCTGTTTTATCTTCTTTTCCATGGTTTCTCTCCTTCTATTTAGGTTTGAACTTCCTTTCCTCTTGTTTCATTACCAATTTTTATAATATCTTCAGTAGTCTTAATCATTTAGAAACATTTATTTTTCATAACAATCAATACCCAAACCAGCGGGAAGATCTTTTTATTAAATGCTCTAAGTAATGCCAGTCATTAAACATAGAAGGTACTGCACTGTAAAGTAAGGTTAGGTTAGGTTAGGTTAGGTTAGGTTAGGTTAGGTTATATTAGGTTAGGTTAGGTTTATTAGGTTAGGTTAGGCATCCCACCTTATTTCACCTGTAATCTAAATACCCTAAATCTAACCTAAACTAACCTGCCTCAAGACTAATAGTTTACCAAGAGGTACAGCTATGCTGACAAACCCCACTTGAACCACTTAATGCCTCTAGCCTATAATTCCAATTGTCAAAAACTGTACACAGCAACTTTCTCACCAATTCAAACTTATTACTGAATCTACCATTACCAAGTTTTTCACCATTATTCATCTTTTACTCATTTTGTGTCATTGTAACATCAAGACAGAATTCCAAAGCTGAATCTGTGCATCAACTGATCCTTGAGAAACAATTCCTTAACTAAAATTATATAAAATGAAAGAAATTATAACATTTAAAAAGAAGAAAAACAGTATGCCCTCTCTCTTAAGTATTTTGTGCAATTCATGATATATAAATTAAAATTAACTTATGACCCGTGGTGACAGTGAAGCCAGACAAGACTTTTTAATTAATCTCTCAGACTTCAATGATCAAGAGTCTACCTATTATATTAATCAGTAAGGAAAAACTGTTATATTTTAGTAGAACCTCCAAGTTTAGTGTCATAAAACTTTGGACCTACAAGACTAAGAACTTTCCTCATTATTGAACAAAATTATATAAATGGGGTATAATTAATGTGTACATATATATATAACTGTATGTTAATGCCTATAGACGGGCGGTAGATCAGGTGGTACCAACAAGACATAAACTGATAGTGATATAGAGGCTGGTGTCCTCTTGGTAAAATCTGTAAGCCTTCAATCAGGGTTAATACATAACAACAGTACATTAAAAGCATCAATCACATAATGAGTACTATTGATTTAATGAGTACTATTGACTTTCTCGTACAAAACCGTGTTTGTAGGTATAGAACTGTGGAGGGGGGTAGGGGAGTTCACTCATTGCTAGCCCCAGAGTTTTGCTAATACAGTATTTATGAAATAATAAAGAGAGAAAAAATATAAGAGTAAAACAGAGAAAGTGAGCTAAAGAGAGAAAAGAGAAAAAGAAAGAAAATTGAGAAAGGGAGAGACCAAAAAAATGAGAAAAAACACTTAAATACATAAAAAAAATAATATAGACAAGGAGAGGGAGAGAACAAAGAGAAAGAGAGAGACAAACACTTGAAAATAGAACATCAAAAACTTTACTGAAAATACAAAAAACTCAAACTAATACGTACATCATAAACAATAGTTACATCAGCAATACCCTGAGACCACCAGTGAGAGAACCACCATGTTTAAGGTACCATAGTAAGAGTGACATTACAACCCAACCACAGCCGCTGCACGAGGCAATTTTGTGCCGACGTCGCACAATATGTTCCGGTGTAGCTGTCACGGAAATGTACCAAGGAGGAGAAGAAGATTACCAGGTAGTTATATAGGTACAATACAAGTAATTTAAGCCTGGACATAATACTCTAGGTGACTAATCCTTCACGTGCTGTAGAAAAAACAGACAAAACAGAATGATGATAGTATTTTGTTAAGGGGTCATATCTACCATTTTCTCTTTCTCTCTCCCTCTTTCTAATTTCCTCTTTCCCTCTCTCACTTTTCCATTTTCTTTCTAATTATCTTTCATTGTCTCTATCTTTCTTTAGTAATTTTATTGTCTCTGTGTTTACATTCTCTTTCCCACTCTTTCATACTTTATTTTCTAGTTCCTATATTTCTTCCTCCCTTTCTCTCTCTTTTCACTCCGTCACTTTTCTCAGTTTTTCTCTTTCACATATTTAATCTTTTTCCTCTTTCTTATTCCCTCACTTTTCTCTAGTTTAGTGTGGTCATCTCTTAAACAATTTACACTTTCACAAAACTTATAATAATTAATACTGTACAGGTACCTGAATTATTTCCTAACCAGAGGCACATTTATACAGCATTTGATTTGAAAAGTTATTTGAGAAATTTTCTTTTCCTTATACAGCTCCTCCCAGACTTACGACCAACTCGACTTACGTCCACCCGCACTTACGACCTGCCTCAGTCGTACCAAAATTTGGTCAAATTACGTATTTTCGAGTCCCAAAGTCAGTACACAGACAAAATTTTCATCTGTAATTCACTATAAAATGGCTGGCAAACATAAAAGTGAGTTTTTTGTGGTGCTGAGAAGAAAAAGAGACCACCATTTTCGATTTTCTGTGTTATTTAGTAAGCATTTCCGACTTACGACCTGGATGCCGGTCCCTAGCCCCGTCGTTAGAGCAACACATACTTGCGCACACTACGCGCACCTGCACTTTACACACACACACATATATTTGAGGGATATTTTGATTGGAAAGTGAATAATGACACTGGTAATTACCACAGGTAAAATAATCTTAACGTGAACACAGTTTTAACATTGTCGGTCTGTGCACTGTGCCTTACCTACCCCAAGGCTACATCATAACAGCTTCCTACGAGACACTACAAAAAATTTTCCACCTTCTGACGCTACTGTATGTATAATATTCACAAAACAGCTTAAAAATGCAAAGATGTTATACAAAAAATATTTCCCGAGTTAATTTTTTAAAAGTACAGTACTGTCTAGTATAACTCAGCATTCAAGAGAAGTGTCAAAAGTCAGTCTCTCTCTCTCTCTCTCTCTCTCTTTCTCTCTCACGATACTGTTGCTAAATACTGACGTCGATGAACAGTTTCTGTATAGTAATAGCAGTTAAGAAGGCAATACGTGTCTCCTCTCCATGACACCACCAACTCCAAATAAACTACAAAATGTAAAAAATCAGGAATTTGACACGAGATACGTTCACAGGGAGATTAACGACCTCGAGATGTTTCTAGACCACAACGTGATCTGAGTAATGGGAGTGGAGGCGGTGGTTGGTTTTCATGAGGAGTGTAGCGAATGATCTGGCAGAAGGCGGGCGAGCAAGGATGTCAGCACCAACAGGGATGACTGGAGCTCTCTCTCTCTCTCTCTCACGATACTGTTGCTAAATACTGACGTCGATGAACAGTTTCTGTATAGTAATAGCAGTTAAGAAGGCAATATGTGTCTCCTCTCCATGTCACCACCAACTCCAAATAAACTACAAAATGTAAAAAATCAGGAATTTGACACGAGATACGTTCACAGGGAGATTAACGACCTCGAGATGTTTCTAGACCACAACGTGATCTGAGTAATGGGAGTGGAGGCGGTGGTTGGTTTTCATGAGGAGTGTAGCGAATGATCTGGCAGAAGGCGGGCGAGCAAGGATGTCAGCACCAACAGGGATGACTGGAGACCTGCTGCCTGCTGCCCTTGTATCCACACAGAGCTGTACACCTCACGTAGAGCCAACACCCTGATAAAACAACATCAACAGGTAAATCACTCAAAGCAATATTTACAAATTTTAAAAAATTATAAAAAAGTTTCTTGGAAATATTTAAAGACTAATGTTACTTCCATCAATTAAAAGTTAACCACATAACACAAAATTTTCTCTAAACTTATGCACAAAAGACTCAAGAAAATGTCCAAAATATATAACTGTTATTATAATTTCACTTATCTTCCAACGCACGCGCGCACACACACACACACACACACACACACACACACACACACACACACACAATCTACTACTACTACTCTGCTGTCACTCGGAATCGAATATGACGATCATCCAACTATGATACAATGATATGAGTTATTAAGGATGTCACCTTGATTGGTGAGCTCTGAGGTGACTATAGAGACTCCCAAACGGGACCAGCAGAGTCGTCCACAGATGTTGCATATGAGGAGGGATACATCTAGTGCGGGAGGTTCAGCGGTAGCGTCTTTCCAGTGTTGGTGCTTGTCTGCATTGGTATGCATTCGGGCTAACTCGAAAGTATTGACACCTTCTCATGTGGTAATCCTCCAAGCGATACGGTGTGGAGCAATCGTCTCCCAGGTGAGGGGGTCGATTTGGCACTTTTTCAGGTTTGTCTTAAGACTGTCCTTATACTTTTTCAGTTGCCTGCCAGCATTACGTTTACTATTCGTAAGGTGACTGTAAAGTAACTGCTTTGGCAGTCTACTGTCGTCCATGCGGGTAACATGGCCAGTCCAACATAGATGTTCATGGATAATGGTAGCCTCGATGCTCCTACAGTTGGTGTCAGCGAGAATACTGGCATTTGTTCTCATGTCTTCCCAGCGAACTCGGAGGATGGAACGCAGACTACGTTGGTGAAAGTTTTCAAGTGCCTTGAGGTGCCTCCTGTATGTGACCCATGTCTCGCTGCCATATAGCAGGGTGAGGAGGACCATTGCTCAATATACATGCAACTTTGTATATAATTTCAGCTCCCTACACCTGAGGACATGGGTATGGAGTCTGCCAAAGGCTTGAGAAGCACATCTGATCCAATGTTGAATCTTTTTATCAATGTCCGCTGTGGTAGACAGGTGGGAGCCAAGATACTGAAAGTGGGTAACATTAGAGAGGGTAGTACCATTAAGCTGGATGGAGGGTGGAGTTGTGGCTGAACCAGGGGCAGGCTGAGAGAGAATCCGAGTCTTGCGTACATTCACCTCAAGGCCAAAGTGTGCATACGCATCTGAGTAGGTGTTCAGGAGTGTGAGCAACAAGGGTGAGGTCTTCTGCATACTGAAGTTCAGTAATGGAAGCTGCCGACACCTTTGTTCCTGCCTGGAGTCGTCTTATGTTGAAAAGACCCTTCATTCGGTACTCGATGTCCACCCCGCCGGCTAAATTGGCACAGGCAAGAGTAAGGAAGGCAGCCAAGGAAATGGAAAAAGAGAGTTGGTGCCAGTACACATCCTTGTTTTACCTCCGTTTGGATGGGGAAGAACTCAGACTGGGTGCCATTGTACAGGACACTGCCGTTCATGCCATTGTAGAGTTGCCATACAATGGCGATGAATTTTGGTGGGCATCCAAAATGGCTGAGGGTCTGCCAGAGGGCTTAACTGTTGACCGAGTCGAAGGTCTTGGTTGTTGATGAATGCCATGTACAGGTCACGAAGCTGTTTTCTGCACTTTTCCTGTATCTGGAGGGCAGCAAAGATCATGGCAGTGGTGCCACATGATGGTCTGAAGCCAAATTGAGATTCTGAGAGGAAGTTTTCCACCTCAGGAGGAAGTCTGTTTAGGAGGACTCGGGGGATAATCTTGCTGGCTACAGACAGCAGCGAGATCCCGCGGTAGTTGCCACAGTATGTCCGGTCTCCCTCGTTCTTATAAATATTGACAATGGAGGCATCTTTAAGAGCTTGGGGGATTTCCTCCTTTTCCCATATATTCTCCAGGAGAGCGTGGAGACGACTGGTAAGCAGAGGTCCTCCTGCTTTATACACCTCGGCTGGGATTCCATCAGGCCCTGTGGCTTTGTTATTTTTCATCTGTTTGATGGCAATAGCTACCTCATCCAGGGATAAAGGATAGCTGAGGTGGATCAGCTCTGGATGCTAAGGGGCCTGCTGGGTAGTCAGGACATCCCCATTAGTGTTTCGCTTCACCAGCGAATGGTAATGCTCTCTTGAGCGCTGTAGGGTGCCTTTTTTGTCTTTAATTGGGGAGTTACGGTCGGATGAGCAGAGGGGGCTGCGCCATGGGTGTTTAGCCCATAAAAAGTTTTAGTGGAATTTAAAAATTCGCACATCTTGTGTTGATCTGCAAGTTTTTGTGTTTCAATCTGGGCCGTCGCTTTCTTCTTGCAGAAGGTATCAGCTTTGATTCAAGACTGAGGGTTGTTCTACAAGCCAGTTAAAGCAGCATGTTTAAAAAACACACACACACACACAAACACAGTCATTCCTATTGAACCTTGAACTAAATGTCACATATGGTAATTCTATAACATCAAAATAAAAGTACTGTACTGTACTAATACTCAACACTTTCATCTGGGTGATAAAGTATTCAACTGGTGGTCTTGAACACCATAAGAACCTTCACTTTGGGTGACTTGTTTATCTGTCACACTTTTCTCAATACAGGGTGACAGCAGTACAGTAATAGGTATATATGTTTTATGCAATGGACATACTTTAGAGCATCTTAGAGCATCGACTTACTTGTTGGCAAGGTCTGTACGGAGGGTGGGAGGTAAGTTTCCAACGCCAGGGTTGACAACAGACACGCCCATGTTACTTCTGGGGTTAGTGCCCACGGACACCAGTGATCGTCCCAATCTGAAGTAATTGTATTAATCTATTATAAATTTACCTAAAAGTTTCATTCACTTTACTTATCAGCTAAAAATATATAAAACAGATAATGATGCAGCTAATCATACGTCCTATTATAATAGGATAATTATCCAACCTAAAATACAGTATACAGTATATATATATATATATATATATATATATATATATATATATATATATATATATATATATATATATATATATATATATATATATATATATATATATATATATATATATATATATATATATATATATATATATATATATATATATATATATATATATGTGTGTGTGAGTGTGTGTTTGTGTCCAACATGCTAAGAGCTGCAAGAGATATACAAAAAGAAAGAAGAGTACAGTACACAGTGCGAGAGTGTACTGCCATAAGGTACAGGGAACAGCTCCTGACTGGTGGGGTATTGTTTTGTTGACAATGTTTAAATACTGTACTGATGACCCACATGGAATAACAACCAGGGATTGGGTATATGTATCCTGTATTCGTATTCAAATGCATTTGAATAAAGCATTTCTAGATGTACCTCCTACCCTCATCAGTGCTGCTTTCATATAATATTTTCACCTAACATATCAGACTTGATATGTAGAATGCAGGCAGATGTGATCTGCAACCTTGCATTCTTCAGCAGCTTCATATAGCATTTGTTTTTGTGGAGGCTTGATGGTTCTGACCTACCATACATTACACATGGCTGCCGTTCACTATAAAATACAGTATACTATCATTATAAATAATTCTTATTATTAGAATACATGCAACAATAACAGGTGTAGGTGTACAGTGACTCACCATGTTCACTGTTGCTAATAAATGATACATAATATATGTATCAATAAATATCATTAACCTCTTCACTATGAGAATGCCACTTTCATTATTTTGTTTAGCTAATGCCAGACAATTTATTCAGCACAGAGGGGACCCCATACATAAGGGGTTAATGAAGCAGTATATTGAGCCTGTTGTGTGCTGTACCTGCAGGCAGTGAGGATCATGTCCATGGCCAAGTGAAGCTCCAGCACTACCAGAGTTGCCAGGGGCCATGGGGAGGATGATGTGGCCCGGCTTACACCAGGTGATGTTCCACTGGTCACTCCTACTGGAGAAGCCGTTCCTGATGCACTATTGCTTCCTTCACGCACTGCACGACGCACGTGACGCATCACACTCTGGTTTGGAAAAATTTTATACTTTGCTAACAAGAAATTAGAATTCCTGTAAAGTGAAATTAGTATCCTAAAATTGTCTTATTCATGACAAGTGAATGTAGTTATGTAAATGAGCTCGCACGCACGCAAAAAAAAAACAGTATCTACCCACCAGGGTCCAGTGTTTGGGGTATGAACACAATGTACAGCAGTTTTGCTTTGGTTGGTATTTCAGATTGTAAATTTCACCTCATAATAACGATGATAACTTCAGTTTACCACCTAATTTCTAAATAATGAAATGAAATAGGATGAAATATGATACGACATGCAAAATCAATGACAAAAAAAGGGGCAGATAATTTTTTGGTGTGTATTTCATGAATAAGACAATGATCGATTGGGTAGAATATCTGGCATCACACTCTGTGGCCATTTGATGAATAAGACATAAAACATTATATTACCTGCAGTTGTAATTATGAAATAACCTATAATAAAATTTATAATTTGTGGTATTCTCTGTTCTCTGGTCATAGCTATTGGTTCCAAGATCTACCAACACTACTGTGCTGTTCAGGGTTTTATTAATGTCACTCCAAGATACTGACAGTGAACACTTCTGTAGAGAGATTGTCCAGTGGCAGGGCATCAGGGTCTGCCAGGAGCTGGTACAGTGCTGAACCAGGAGATGATGGCAGGTCACCCACGTCTGATGCTGACTGACCTCGGGCCATGCGGGTCACCCAGGTTTCACAGCGACCCAACTCCACTAGAGCCGCCCCTAAACCACACCCGGGAACTCGCACGAGGTGAGTGTCCACCAGCTCCCCGACTGATGAGTGAACATAATCCTGAAACAGAAAAAAATAGAAAGATAGGTACACATAACCTTCTTCATACTCTCTATACTCCAGACAAATATCAAGCCTTTCATATTCTTTCCTGATGTACTGTAATACTGTGTTATTGTTTCAAAGCACAATTTAAAATCCTGTTGACTTATATACAAATAAAATTCTTCAAAAAATACTTCAAATGCAGACGTTACATTTTGAACACTTACCTGCAAAATGTTAGACAGAAAGTGAGCTGTTAAGGAAATATTCTACAATTATCACAAAGTCAGTGAGTGGAGTAATGACCCAACACATACAGTAACTAACCCAGTGTGTGTTGTGGTTCCACGATAGTCCAGCAGCCACTAGTATGGGCGGCCAAGCAAACACTAGAGGTGTGAGAGCAGCACTACTGGACCAGTGAGCAACGACCACACCACCAGCACCGGCATCAACTCCTCCCACCACTCCGCTGTACACATTGCTCACCCCAGCCTCGGGCCACCTGAAACATGGTATGTATACATACAGTACATCCATTATTTATATTTAAAAAAAAAAGCTTCTATTGATCTATTTCCATATAAAACAAAGGCCACATCTGGAGCACGATGGTTGTACTGTACACTATATCCTCCCCACAGTCCAATCACAACACAATGGCACTATGAAGTCAATATGGGCAATATTCCAAGATGGTCCCCCAATGTACAGTATACTAATGTATTCTCGATTTAACGCAATCCGATATAACAAACTTTCGATTCAACAGAAGCAATACTTTTCTGTTAATTTTCACTTGATTTAATGAACTAGTTTGCAACATCGAATTTAATTCCATTAATACGCTCACACTTACGGAGAAACCATATCCGACACTTGATATGAACATAGAAACATTATTTAAGGATTACCTTAAACTAGGGGAGTTTGGTGTTTGTTTTCAGTTTTTTCTTTAATTTCCAAACTTTTTACCAATTGATAATTGCACTCCTTTGACTTTCTCTCCCCCCCCACCACTTCCTTTCTGAGACTTCCGAGAGACTTTCGGCATGATGTCTAAGCACAATACGTAGTTAGTTGACCGAGAGGTAGCAGTGAACAATACACGTGATGGTGGCAGAACACAGACTAAGAGGATGTAAACAAACCCCACACGCAAAGCAGCACATTTGGCATGGAATTTAATGGAATCACGCTCAATTTAGCAAACTAGTTCGCCAAATCGAGCAAAAATAATGGAAATGTGATTTAGCGGAAATTTAATGGAATCACGCCTGATTTAGCGAACTACAAGTAATATCTTCGTTTGCCGGAATCTCTCAAACCCGGAACTCTCCGATAGCCGAAATTGAAATTTTATTGGAAAATCTTTCCCAAAGCCGGAATTTTCCGGAAAATTACGGCTTTAGGAACGATTTTCCTATGGGCACATTTTCCGGAAAATTCTGAGGATGGGGGAGTTTTTTCCGGGTTTGAGTGAGTCGTCTCGTTACCCGGAAATCTCTTATTCCTGGAAGTGCTCTGCACCAATTGTTCCGGCTAACAGGGATATCACTGTAGTTTCCTAATTCGAGCAAAAATAATGGAAATTTCATTTAGTGGAAAGGGGTGGCTCGAATTAGTTCGTTAAATTGAGAAAAACTGTATTTCCTTGACTGAACAGTGACTGGTGTGTTCTGTGATCCTTGCTATCAATCCTCTTAAAATGTACAGTATTTATCTCTCATATATACCTGATGGAAAACACTAAGTAAATGAAATCTCAAAAACTAAACAACTTACCCGCTCAGACTACTCCAAGCTGCAGTACCCGGGCACACTGACAATGGCCGCCCGGTCTCTACTGCAAGCTGAATGCCGCGGGAAAAGTCATAATCCGCCTGAAACATGATAAAGCTATATTTGATAATGTTTGGAGTAGCCAAGGAGACTTAACATTCTTTTGATTTCTGATTTCTTTTTACAAATGTGATAAAGGTTGCAAGAGTATCATATACTGTAATGGTTGATGGATATATTAGCCCCTGGGGTATGACAATTTAGGTTGGGCAAATGAAAAGGTGAAGGAGTGTTAAAAGAGGTTATGGTAGACTGGTTACACAGCTAAAGAAAAAACACCTCTATATCTCACAAGTATAAAGTTAAGATTAAAATTTTGATAGAATATATAAACCAAACTTTAATACAATACAATACTTATTAATTATACTGTGACCATATGAGACAATAATATATTTAAATACAAATTTATCTCCCACATTATACTCAAGCATTCTCTGGTGTCAGAATTCTCAGCCACTTATAAGTACTGTACCCACCAGAAATCCATACTTCACTAACTGTTGCCGTACTCACCTGAAAACCGTACTCCACTAAGATGGTCCTCGGAGGGAGATAAGACAGCTGTTGACGCTTGTTGTGGAAAACATTAGCACACACCAGGAGAACAGCCGATTGTGCCAGTCCCAGCTGTGCCCACGGACTCAAAGGGTTACAGGTACCATCTTCAGAGAGGCCATTGTTTCCACAACTGGCATCCGCTAACACGGCCGTTAATCTTGGACCGATGTGGACATACCTGTACCATATATATGGTCAATCATAAGAACATAAGAACATAAGAATGGAGGAAACTGCAGCGGGCCTATTGGCCCATACTGGGCAGTCCCGTTTACACCCAACCCCTATTGCTCATATGAGCATCCAACCTATGTTTGAAGCAATTCAGCGTATTCGAGTTAATGATGATATTTGGTAACTTGTTCCATTCATCCACTACTCTGTTTCCAAACCAGCGTTTACCTATTTCACGCCTAAATCTAAATTTGTCTAATTTAAAACCATTGTTACTTAGTTCGCCCTGGTTGGATAGTTTGAGTACCTTTGTAATGTCCCCTTTGTTTAGCCCCTGCTCTTCCACTTATACACCTCATCAGGCGCCTCGCTCTACATGTCTCAAGGAGTAAATTAAGATGCTTTAACCTGTCTCTATACTCAAGGTTCCTAATGCCCGGGATTAGTCTTGTCATTCTCCTCTGAATTCTTTCCAATGATTCTATATCCATTCTGTAATACGGTGACCAGAACTGAACTGCGTAATCCAGGTGTGGTCTCACAAGAGCAAGATACAGTTTTAGGATGACCTCGCTAGTCTTGTAACTAACACTCCTTTGTATGAACCCAAGTACTTTATTAGCCTTGTTACGAGCAAAAACACATTGTTTACTTGGCTTAAGGTTCCTACTTATCATTACTCCTAAATCTCTCTCGCAGTCGGATTTCTCTATGGCATCGTTGTTCATCTGGTATCTGGTTTTCCTGTTTACATCTCCTATACTGAGTACTTTACATTTGTCGACGTTGAATTTCATCTGCCATTTTTCAGACCATTCGAAAAATTTGTTTAGATCTTCCTGTAGTTTTGCCGAGTCCTTGTCAGATTTGATAACACGTCCTATTTACTCCTGCTGTATATGATAAGTGGTATCAGCCAGACATGAATATTTTATTGAAGTTACCCATCAATCAGATATACACTATGCATGTACGTAGTACTAGTGCAGGGGCGGGTTCTGGGGGTCCGTATCCCCCCTTTTCACCAGAAAATTCCAATACGTACTTTTCTTCAATACAGTACAGTGGTCCCTCGGTTAACGAACACAATTCGTTCCACAGTCGTTCGTTAACCGAAAATTTCGTTAACCGAATTCATTGTTTCAATGGGATATTGAGTAATTGGTTCCAGCTCACAGAAAAGTACATACAGTGGGGTATGCTATAACGAATCTAATTGGTTCTAGAACCTTGTTCGTTATAGCATTCGTTCGTTATAGGATTAATCCGTTCCAGGCCACCAAATACAACCACTTAACACTGAAAAATATAATATAAAATTGTAAAAATTGTAAAAAAGTGCATAAATATGCATCTAAACCCCTGAAATAACCAATATCATTAATACTTGTAATAAAAAAACAATAAATTAGTAAAAAAAAAAAAAAAAATTTTTTTTAATAATGTTCGTTGTAGGAGTTTCGTTCGTTATAGCATTCTCAATTTTATAGGTAAAACCGTTCGTTATAGGAATATTCGTAGTAGGATCCGTTCGTTATAGCATACCCCACTGTACAAAGTAAAAAAAAATGCAGTAAAGATACACTTACTTTGAGGTGTGTATGTAGAGGGTTCCTGGTTGATGATGACGATGGGAATTAGAAGTGGGGGTGGAGGAAAAGGGAGAAGAGAAGGAAGTGGGGATGGAGGAGAAATAACCTTTCAGGGGACCCATGCTTGATGCCGTCATTTCACCAATAAAATTTTAAGTTCACTAGGTGTAATTTAAGATTATTTTATTTAAAGCAACACTGCATTGCACTATATATTATCAATATGTTAACTAAATTTCAGAATGACCAATAATTTTAATGTAAAAATACAAAAATATTCAAGAGACCAACTTTCTTGGTATTTAGGTATTTACTCCACTGGAAACGAATGTAAACATAGAACCAATTACTGTATTGGCGGACTAGCCGATCAGCTGATGCTCACAACAAAAGGTGTTTGTCGTAAGGATTTCGTTAATCAAAGTTTTGTTCGTTAACCAAATTGAAGATCCTTATGGGAGGTAATTCGTTAACCGAAATTTCGTTAATCGAACCGTTCGTTAACCGAGGGACCACTGTATTGTAGTCAGGCATATTGTTTAGTAAAAAGTAATTACTATTGACCTCAGAATATCTCCTAATAATCAAGTGCACATGGCCTCAAAATGCCCATTGTATTGGTAATATTTCAAAAAAAGAATTTTGGGGGGCCTTACACCGACCCCCGTCCCCCAAACCTACCAGCTGAGCAGGCTCACTGCGCTCACCATGCTCCCCCAACCACAACTTCTTGGACCCCCCCCCCCACCCCCCCCTTTGACATTCCTGGATTTGCCCCCATACTGTAACTTATCTAAATAACTTTAACTAACTACAGTTGACTTAACCTAACCCGGTCCAATCTAATATAATGTAAACAAGCCATAGCTAACTTAATCTAAACAAATTTAATCTAACCTAATCTAATCTTACTGGACCTTACTGAGTCAGCCTAATAAAGCTTATGTTAAAGAAACTATACCTAACTTAATCTAAACAAACCTAACCAAATTAATCCTAACTTAACCCAACCAGGCCTAACAAAAGGTAAGTAAAATTAACTTAACCTAACCATTCATAAGTTAACCAAACTTAAAACTATTAACTGAAGGTAATCAAACATAATGAGCCTTGGTTTCTAACCTTATCTAAGCTGACCTAATCTAGACAACTTAACCTAACCTCTTCAAACCAATTGTTACCTAAGTTATCTAAACCATCTTAATCTAACCTAATAAATCTTATCTAGCCTCAGTTAACCTATCCTTACCTGATTTAAAATAACCTATTCTCAACCTAATAAGTGGTGAAATTTAATTAAATCAACACATATGAAGAAGTATATGGTTATAGAGGCATTTCCACACAAACAGACAAGCAAGTAGATATTACCTGACAGAGGGGAAGTGGGTGAGAGTTGCAGTGATGATCGAGGTCACTGCTTTCAGCTGTGTCAAGGATATGGTTCCCTCTATGTCGAAAGCCGGCACTAAGCTTATGCCCCGATCATCACAGTAGCGGTCTAGTGATACAACTTCACTGTCATAGGTGGATAATGGTGAAATATTGAATTAGTCTACTGTTGTTGTTGTTAATATGAACAGTAATACAGTATTGAGCTACCAGTAGACGATGGCTTATAAGAATCCTGGAACCCATCAGTCTATACGTACAATCATTTATTTCACTATTCCAGAAAATCTCATTATACGAAAGGCTTTAGATTTTCTGAGAGCATTCACAATATATTCTGAAGACTAATGTCTCACCCTACTCCATTATGACATACAGTACTGTACTGCACAGAAATCCCTCAAGTTACACAAAAATTTACATTCCTGAAAACTTGTATATAACTTGATCTTGCATAACTTGAAAAGTATATGTAGAGTGAAGAAATTGTAGCTATGTCATACTCCTAAAAAAATAAAATAAATACTTTAGAAATAAAAGCTGTAACTCCCAGATGATATACAATGATAGATCAAGAGAGAGAGATAAGTGTTTTAACCCCAATACTATTAACCTGTAAATTACCCAAGACAAAATAAAGGATACAAATACAATGAACCATCAAGATAAAAAGTGTTTCAACCCCGATAGATGTACCAATAACCTGAACATTATCCACGACAACATTAAGGGTATAACATGACACACCTGGAGGAGTAAGGTAGACTACAGGCGGTTGGTGAGATGCGTAACATTAGGTGTAGCTGGTTCATCTTCAAGGCAAGGAGGGAGTCAACCATCTGGCATACACGCTCCTGGGGATGATAATGTTGTTGTTGATGATGATGGTTCAATATATTTAATGTCACTTACTTCAGGTCACATGGTGATTAGGAACCCCAGCTTATTTTACCTGATGACTAAATACAGTGGTCCCTCGGTTAACGAACACAATTGGTTCCACAGAGTCGTTCGTTAACCGAATCTAATGGGATATTGGGTAATTGGTTCCAACTCACAGAAGAGTACATACAAAGTATAAACAAAATGCAGTACAGCACTATACACTTACTTTGAGGTGTGTATGTAGAATGTTGCTGGTTGATGATGATCATGGGAATTACAAGTGGGGGGTGGAGGAGAAGGGAGAAGAGAAGGAAGTGGGGATGGAAGAGAAGGGAGAAGAGAAGGAAGTGGGGGTGGAGGAGAAGGGAGAAGAGAAACCTCTGGACTGACAGATTCTCTAACATGAAAATCCTCTCTCTTTTTTGGAGAGGAACACTGAGGGGAATCATCTTTCTCACCCATGCTTGATGCAGTAATTTCACCAATAAAATTTTAAGTTCACGAGCTGTAATTAAAGATTATTTTATTTAAATCAACACTGCACTGTGCTATATATTATCAATATGGTAACTAAATTTCAGAATGATCAATAATTTTAATGTAAAAATGTTCAGGAGACCAACAAACTCGATGTCTCCTCCACTGTAATTAAAGTTAAACAGAGAAGCTTTGGCGGGTGAGTCAAGCGGCTGATGGGAGCACAAAAACTAGCTCCCTGTACTGCATATATTATCAATATGTAAACAAAATTTTAGAATGACTAATAATTTTAATATAAAAAATGCAAAAATATTAGAGAGCACAACCTTCTAGATATTTACTCCACTGGACACGAATGTAAACATAGAACCGATTACTGTATTGGCGGACTAGCCGATCAACTGATGCTCACAACAAAACGTGTTTCTCATAAGGCTTTCGTTAATCAAAGTTTTGTTCGTTACTCGAACTGAAAATCCTTATAGGAGCTAATTCGTTAACCAAAATTTCGTTAATTGGACCGTTCGTTAACCGAGGGACCACTGTACTGTAATGTTAACCTAATCAAATATAACAATCTAATCTAAACTAGAGTAACCAAATGCAACCTAACCAAATCCAATCAAATACAACCTACACTAACCCAATCTAATTTAATCTAATTTAACCAAACAGCATCAGGGTGTTTAATCATCAGGAGATATAAGCCGGGGTTCCTAATCTTCCTGGCAACCTATACTTTATATACAACACTCTGCTGTGCAGTATATGAACCTTGTACACTGTTATAGGATTACTTACACTGTCAAAGTTTAAACACATACAGCAAGTCCTCGCTTAACGTCGTGGTTCCGCTTCTGAAAACAGCGACGTTAACGGAAACAACTTTAACGGAATCAATTTTCCTAATAAGAAATGGATAAAATACAGGAGTTACGTTCCCCAGCCTCCCTTTGCCCCATAAAATACATTAAATATACAAAAATTCTATGGCATTTTTATAGAAAATAGTATTATATATTATACATCCAAAAAGATAAATAAACCAAATAATTTTGTATTGTATTCACTGATAGGTGGAGCAAGTGTGTGCTGGTTCGACCACTGCGCAGCAGCAGTCCCCACCGCACATTCACCTTTCCCAAAACGGTTTAAAACCTCCATTTTCGTAGCAAGGCTAATGGTCTTATGTTGCTTCTTCACAACACTTGCATCAGTAGCACTTGATGGGAACTTGAAGCTATTTCGAATGGTTAGAGTACAGTATTAAGAGCAAAAACACTTAAACACGCATGAACGCTGTGGAAACCTAACAAAGACTGGCGACACTTGGGGATGCTGTGATGCTCCACGAGTGAGAGCGTAGCGCGCCAAGATGAAAGAGGGTGATGCGCCGTACAAAGTAGTCACAGACGACATTATCTGAATCATCGGTATCTAAAGAATAGCGACGTTATAACGAAACAATGTTATCGGGGGCAACGTTAAACGAGGACTTACTGTACAGCATACAGTATAATAAATATCTTCTAACTTGCCGAATTCAATTACATTTCAGCTTATGAGTACTGTAGTACAATGCATTTTATGATACTACTGCTCCTCATACACATATACTGCATTGTACTATAGTGTTATACATTATATCAAGAGGACACACACACACACAAGCACACATGCACGCACGCATGCACGCACGCACACACACACACACACACACACACACACACACACACACACACACACACACACACACACCTACCAGCGTGGGAACCCGAGCGTGTGGTGAAACATCCAACAGGACTCCTCGATGAGAGAGCGATGGCTGATCCGTTATGACCAGCGGAGGAACCATGCCCTTCTCAGCTCCCTCCCTGTTAGACGTACACACACGAAGCAGCTGTACCAGTGTGACCAGAGTGCTGTGGAGGCTCTCTATGGACCCACACACCATTGTCACCTGAAAATGTTTATACTGTATTACAAAATTGTTTTATTGTACGTACTGTATTCCATTATTTGGTCCATAAAGTCTGATAAACCCGCATGTACAGTACTGTATCTCCCTCATAGTTCACATATTGTAGCTGTACCATCACTTTTCTTTGGACATAGAAAACACCAGAACAAAATATATATACCAAAAGCTTACAATGTGATGTTCGATATATATATACAGTACAGTATTTCCTTGAGCTGTTTGACCCGTTAACCAACAAAAGTGATTACAATTTATCTCTTCATCTGACTGATTAGTTGATTACTAAAATTCACGGAGTTACAAGAGGTTGGTTATTAAGGTTGGGTATAAACGGCAAAAATTAAATTCCTTAAAAATATATACTGTAAATGATGGAAAGTTAAGAATTTTTATAAATTCCCCAATGATATTGACACTAGTTACCATCTTCAGATTTTAAATGAGGTGTTCAGTGCCAGAAAGGTGAACCTGCCAGGAGTGACAAACTCCATTATTTGTATTTTACTCCATTTTCTATTATCCATCCTCTATCAGATGGACCGATTCTCAAAGCGCTACTGTTCACCCATCTGGCGCATTCCTGCCATTGAAATAGTGGATGTGTTGGCCATGTGCTTTCATCACACTGTGGGTCCTAGCCACGCTAGAGGGGTGAGCAGACACAATCACACAAGAGGCAGCGGCCAATCAGCGAGGCACTACTGTTATTGAATGTGTTGTAATTAATGAGTGGTTGTGTTGCATCCCTCCCAAGGCAGTCTTGTGGGTTTAGTAGACAGTGAAGGAACTTCTCTATATTTCTGCAATTTATGATGGCTGAATTTGGTGTGCTTGTCCTTCTTGTTCTAAATGCCTGTAATTGGTCTATACAACCCCATCTTTCCAAAATCCTCTTTATTATTCTGTTAGTTTCCTTGCCCAACCTTACAGTACAATATACAGGTATTTTCCCAGGTAATTCTCAGTAGACTAAATGCTTAACAGGATGGGAAATCTAGAAGTAATGTGATAATACCTGAAGGGTAACTTGAGGTACAGGCATCCACTGTTTAGCAATCGTTCACTTGGTTATTTAAAGAGCTGCAATTGTTCGGTTTAGCGATCTTCAACAACTAGGAAACATTCAGGAGGGAAGTTGATAAAATGGGGATTCTGTGCTCCAAGTGGGCATCTCTACTGGGCAAGCTCTGTGGATGTATATGGGCGGGTGTGGGCGTGATGAGAACATGATGGACATTAACGTAAAGGTAGGGGCGGGTTGGATGAGTGGATGGGCGGGTGGACGGTAGAGGAGGATTGATGGCGTACTGGTGAGGCACGGGTGGGAGGAAGGGATGGACACATGTGGGGGTTGTGTGTGTGTGTGTGTCTGTGTCTGCCTCTACCACCACCACCATCGTACCCAATAGGATATGCCAAGTGCCGACTCTTTAAAATCTGCATCATTGAATAAAATCTACATATTTTAGTACAATAAACAGTAAAATAAGTGTAGAATTACATAAATAAGTTATTTTATGTAAGTGATGTCTGAGACTCACAGGCATTTGCTGTGGAGCAGAGGCCTCTGCTAATTGTATTCCATTTAGAATTGCCACATGTACGTAAATAAAAAAAAATTATGTTTGAATTCCATTTTTCTATTCACCTACCTATCAAGTATTATATTATCAGTTTAATTAAAAAAAGTGGAAATAACAATAATAAGTGGTGTAAAATAAATGTCGAGTGTGATATGTCTCCTGGCCCACTCAGGGATCGTGGCAAAGTTGGATTTTCAAAGCCGACACTAAACCACTTGGAAAGGGAGACGATATACAATGGAAGATACTGTCTATGAATCAGCCAACCTGAATTTTAGAAATGACTTTAGAAATCATTATCTAGCTTTTCCAACAAAAAACATATATAAATTTTGGGGTAACCAGAGAGGGTACATATCTAGGTTAATGGAAACCACTTATTGTAGGGGAATGTTACCGGCACGCCACCTACCAACCCAGGCCGTTACTACACTAGTGTTTACCCTGCCTTTGAACATTGCGACCTATGATTTACTATATCGCTCTGTATATTATCGATCACTGTTTATCGTTCCTATTGCTGTCCATCGCTGCTATTGTTGTGACTTTGCCATGTTATTGAATACTGTAGGGACTGTTCATTACCCAGTACTATTGTGTACAGTAGTGATTGCTCCTACCTCCCCTTCTGTTCTTGTGGCAGACCAGGTAAGAATTGTTTACTGTATTCCCTTTATGTTTTTGACCTTATGATAATTAGTACTTTATATGGTTTGCACATTCTGTATGAATGAATGTGTGTGCATGTAACAGAGTACTGTACAAGAAAATTAAGAAAATTATGTATATCTACCTCAAATTACAAGCTGAACAATAACATAGCTCACAACTCAGCCTCACCCCCTCTGAGTGCTGCTGGGTGGCCAATCAGCCAGTCGGCAACTCGGCTACATAGTTACGTGCCATCTCCATGGATATTATTCCTCGTTATCCCATGTTTAAGATATTTCTCGTTTCTATTTGCTCAGCGATCAAATCACTTAGCGAAAATGACGTATCCCTGTATAGGAGTGTTTAGTACATACTGTACTCTGATGATCCAAAATAAGAGTTAGGTCACAAGAGAGAAGCATTACAGACAGCCAATATTCCTCCAACAGAAACAGACTAACTAATCTACTTAAAATATTTAATTATAAATACTGTTTTTAAGGTAATTAACAGGGGGCAAATCCAGGAATATCAAAAGCGGGGGTTCAAGAAGTTGTGGATGAGGGAACATGGCAAGCACAGCGAGCCCACCCAGCTGAAGGGTTTTGGGGAGGGGGGGGGGGTGCTGTAAGCTCCCCCTCACCCCCAATTTTTTTTTTTAAATCTGACCAATATCATAGGGCATTTTAAGGCCCTATGCAATTGATATTAGGAGATATTCTGCAGTCAATAGTAATTACTTTTACTCTACAAAAATGCCTGAGTACAATACTTATTTAAAGAAAAATTATTGAAATTTTCTGATGAAAAGGGGGGTATCCGCCCCTGATTAATTACCTTGTTGTCATGTATGGTGAGTGTGTACTGGTGAGGATGGTTGGTGAGGGCAGCATCCACTATGCAGGTGAAGGTGTGGGCAGTGGGGGGGTCCCGTGCTCCCACCACCGCCCCCAGACTCACTTGGCAGCCAACCTCCTCCAGCCAGCTTTTATGAATATCCCACACATCTACAATCCTGTAATACACACATGATCAAACATTACTTAACCTTATATAAGTCTGGTATGGTCATAAAGAATATACATACAACACTTGATAGAGAGAAGTACAGATATCTTGACTAGTACAGTAAATGACAATTACGACATACAATAATGTAGAGGCAAATTGGAAATATTTAAAGATCAGTTTCTGTAGTGTGTGAAGATACACTGAAGACCTCCCAGCAGCGGTACTGAGCGAGTGTAACATTTCCAATCCACTACTGTACAGTATTGAGGATATCTGAAGCAATTTTCAAACAACCATTAAGCTTTTTCAACATGAAAGCCACAAGCTACATGCAGTGAAAGGCCGACTCCAAACACTCGAGCCCGAAACATTTATTACTTAACCAATAGCATTAGCAACAGGTCTGCCACCATAGACAGGTTGAGGTGAGGAAGGCATATCTCTCATTTCAGTTGGATATTTGTGGAATAAATTATTTCCCTGAATGACTGTGAACATCTTCTCAACAACTGTCTCTATATTATTATCTCATAAAACATCGAGAGAGAAATCAATATAAGTGGTAACAAACAGAACTTACTTATGCACAGGTATTGTTCCTGCCACAACAGCCAGTGTGGCGTGTGAGGGTGGAGACCAGCCCGGGCCACTAAGTTCTGTGATGCGGCGAGGTTGAGGCCACAACAAGTGCAGCGACGAGTGTGTAACCAGAGGTCGTGGAGGAGCCGTCAGCTGTGTTGATGCCAACCTTTCACACACCTGAGATGTCAACAGTTAGGCAGGTTACTCCACAGATCACTCACTATCTACCACAAAAAGAAGCTAACTTTACTGTACATTACTAAACCATTGAGAGCAAATGAACAAAAAGATACAACTGTGTTCATAGGACTCAACTTTTGATACATACAATTAACAGATCCTTATTACAGTAATCTCTTTTTATCCATGTTGTGAAAATTTCCTTCATTAACTACTATACTAAAATATTCACAATGATTACCACTGTCTCCATTGTTTAGATTGTCCTGGAGCTTCAATTATTTCTTTGGCCATACTGTGTCTCACACCGATAATACTGTACTTATTCTTGCAACTTTATACTTTCCCATAAAGACTTTCTTGGACAAAAACTGGACAGCTCTCATAAACCCAGTTATATATTAGGGAATTCTGTTTAAGAAATGTCCTCTTAAGAGACTTCATTGTAAAGATATACTGTACTGTACCACATTTTGGATATGACTTCATCATATATTTTACTCAGAGGACTCATGAGGAAGTGCTGAAGATAACTTAGCAATTCAATTACTTTAACTTCCTATTGGACAGATTACCTGTACTGTATATATCAAACTACAGAAGATTTATTCTTTAACTTCCAACTGGACAGATTATATCAAATTACAGAGGATTTATTCATTAACTTCCTACTGGATAGATTACAGTACAGCATGCCCTGACAATTAGCGGATTTTTAATACGCGGACCTCGATTATTCACAGATGACACCCTGTATGTACCCAAGAATGTCTAAGAGTAGTTTTAAAGTTGCTAGCATTTTCGTGGCCGGGAAAGGGAGTCATTCGCTCTAGAGACAGTAATTTCTTTTACCTGTATTGTATGTACAGTATGGACGTTTTTTGTAAGGAGTTTTAAGATGCACGGAATAGCTAACGCGTTAGCTTTCACGGCTATCATTAAAAAATACTAAATTTGTACCGCGTCTTGGAAATAACTGTAGTACAACACAGTCTTCAGATAACAATAAAATTAGAACTGTTATTTGGACACAATGCGGAAAGAAATAGTGAAGAAAATATATAGAAAAATATGGAAAGAATGACAAAAAGGAAAAAAGTCAATCAATCAACAATAACCATGGCGGCTCGATCCATTTTTTATACAGGAAAGGTGCTCCACTACGTACTGTATGTTCTCTCGTCCCGGGTTACTTTGTGTTGTTTACAGGTGTTCGCATATAATATACACGCAAAATACGAAGAATTTCAGGTTCGTTATGTATTAATTTTTGCACTTACAGAACTGCAATAAACTTTTCACCCTTATTTAAAGTATCTTACGAGTAATGATATTATGGTTTCAATCATATTTGAGTAATTATAAATATTGTTACACCAAAGTCACCAACGGCTAATGAAATTGGACAGCGCCCACTTAAAAATGGGCTGAGCCAAAACTGGTTTCAACTAGGCACAATTCTATTAAATTTTTCATGCCATACACTTTGTTTTAGGTCCTATCCAATATACTACCATATATAGAATTATTTTTATTACTGTATCACAGCTTTTTATTGCCTTACATGTCCTCAACTCTTCAATATTAATCAAAATATTCTCCAAAATATTCTGATTGGTTGTTAGCTATTTGGGCCGCTTGGGCGCTGCACAAGGCTAACGCCTGATCGAGGTGTTAGCTTTTCCCTCTGAATGTGTCATGAGCACAAGTCAAACGCAGCGTCTGCGCATACAGAATAGCTAACGCGTTAGCTAATCCATGAATCGAAAATACCTTACAATAAATGCCTTACATGTGTTTGTGCAGACACACACACATATATATACAATACAGGTTAAAGAAATAAGTGTCCTAAAGGTAAACACATAAAGGGAATGTACATTTCTTTGCACAAGAGTAAACCCCCCAGCAAACGTTATTCAGGATTTGGCTATTCGTTGCCAGTTTGATAACCTAACCCCTACGAATTTTAAGGGCATGCTATCAAATGATAGAGGAATTATTCTTTATCTTCCTCCTGGACAGATTATACCAAATTACAGAGGATTCATTCTTTAACTTCCTGCTGGACAGATTATACCAAATTACAGATGATCTATTCTATTTGTTGTTCATAAGCAGCCCTGGCATAAACTTCACATCCCCCTCCCTGTTACCTGCTCCATGCGAGGACTCAGTTCCAAAGACGACGAAGACTGTAGAGGAGAGCGAGGTTGTGGAGTGCCTATGGAGGGTTTTCTCACTGAGGTGCCGTCACCACTCCCGGCCTCCACCCCCGTCATCACACTGTCCGCCCCCATGCTGGCTAACGACTCCAAGGAACCAGACGTCCCTCGAGACATTGCAAGTTCTGAATACACACAGGGAATATACATTATTTCTCGTATTTTTTTACCTGTTAAGGCTTATATGTTTTACCTTATAATTGTGAAAGTCGATATGTTTTAACCTTTAGATGCATATTAGGGAAGAGAACATATTAAGACAAAAAGGGACATATATACTATCATAAGAACTTAATGACTTACCAATATTGTCCATGTCACACACAAACTGAACTGTCTTGAAAACATTTAATGCTATCAAAGGTTTTATTTGGTACATACAAAAACAACAGGTTACATTACTTAAAGTCAAAAGCTCCAACTAATGACAAGAAATAGAAAACAATACAATGATCTACTTTTCTATCAGTAAGGTTTTAAGAGGTGGCTACTTGACCTGCTGTAACACTCCATGACCTCCTTAGTCTTTGCTTTGTTTTATCCTCTTCACCGCTGGTCGGCTTTCTAGCCAGTCAGGCAATTCAGTCATGGGCTATAAAATAAACCTGAATATGTGGCAGTGTTGGTGAAGTCTGGTCCTAACTCCTTCATTACCAGAAGCCACTTTTAACCTTTTATTTGCCTAACACCAGATGATTGTATTCAGCACAAAGAGACCCACCTCATACCTAACGGGTTAAATATCCTTACACTCTTCGGTAATTTGTACGAACAGTCTGATCAGAGGCTCAAGACCAATGTGAATATTATACAGTAAACCCTCTTTATAGTGGAATTCTCAGTAATGGATATTCTCAATAACAGAATCCTCTCAATAAAGGACAGGGCATACAAGAATTAGTCTGATATTGGGAGGGTAAACATACATTTGGTATTAATGGAACTATGGTGCAAAAATTAGTTCGCAACAACCTCACCTCTGTTTGTCAATGAACGTCGCTTTAACAAAGGAGAGACACTGCCATTAGCGATGCCATTGATGTGTACTGGCTTGTTCTCTGAGGCAAACTGTTGCATCACCTCCTGCAGCTGTGGCTTCCGTGCTGCCATCTCCAAGGGCGTCTTACCTTTGTGTCGCCTGGAGGTGAAAAGATAACAAAACATCTTCCTAAAGTTAGTGAGAAATAACACTGATGCCACCATTTATTAAGAACCATTCTCACTTAATATGATCTAACTCCTACATTTGCTGCTCACCAGAAAGGACCAGCTCTAAGTACAGGATATTTTAACAATAAATTTACTCATGTAAATATAACAAAACTACATGAGATTCCAAATGCTGTTTTTACCTTAATATAAAAATTAACTAGAAAATGGTTATCAAATATTTATCTAAAAAAAAAACAAGAAGAAAAGTTTTAACCAGGACGGACGGACAAAAACGCAGTAAACATTTAATGACCCTGACCAGTGGTAGCAGGGACACAAAACCATCAAGTTAAGAGAAAAGTTACCCCTTGTAGCACTGGATGTGTGGGTTGGCATCGTGCTCCAGTAGTATTCTTATGATGCTCTCATTCCCCCGAGCCACGGCGTCATGCAGGGGTGTGGCGCCGTCGCTGTTGGCTGCATTAACGTCTGCCCCACGAGCTACAACAAAAATGAATAGTTGAGATTAATCTGTTGATATATCAGTCTTGCTCAGTCAGTATCTATCTATCTACTTATCTGTCTCTCTGTCTATTCATCTATTTACCTATCTATCAGTCTGTCGATCTATCCATCTACCTATCAAAGTCAAAATACTCCAGGTATAAGTAATTATGGTGGGACTCATACACAATTCAATCTACATTTAGTTTCTTTTATGGTGTTACAGTGGCACTTATGTTATTAACCCCTTCACTATGGGGACGTCTCTTTAATATTTTATTTGGGTATCACCAGACAATTTTTTCACCACATAGGAGGCCCGCACTCATGGGGTTAAAGGTTAAAGGGTACAATGATGCCTTATTGTATTAAAAGTTACAGGTCTGTTTTGGCTGGAGGAACAAACCCCTGAAAGTGGTAACATATTTAAATTTTATACAGTATAATGTACTTTTACTTCACTGATAACAAACTTAACTAGTGTGAGTAGGCATTATATTACAATGCAGTAGTATACTATACTGACTTATCCAACAAGTACTTCCCAAAAGTCTATGATAATATTTTTATCATAAATGTATGTACCATATATCTTGTCAGTGTCCTTGTTCAGTAATGGGGTTTCTGACAGGCAGCGAAGGGAAAGGTTCTTATTCTAATTCTGGTCACCCTGTTCACTAGCAGGGGAGGAGTCATCAACAGACGTTCCAGGCAAGCCGTTGGTGATTCAAGATATTTAAAAGCCGGACTAACTTGCACAACGTGTGTAACTCTAGTACGGCTGCGAGTACTGACAAACATGCAGCACACAAATTTCTGTACACTTTCAAGGTTATCACTGACCACAGAAACTACCTTCCTGAACTTGTATTCAACATTAATGAGGCAAGGCAATGCAATGTAATAGGTAAGTCATTTTTTAGCAACAAAAACTTTCTTTCTGAAAAAATAAAAAATAATACTCTATGTTTAAATGGTAAAGTCAGTCTATAGTTCTTAACATAATAAAACATATAAAAATGTAATATTAAAAGTACTGTATAAGCTTAGGATAATTGTTGTTTTTATTATTCTAAATGTGTTGTAATTAAATGACATCATTACTTAACACTAATCACCTGAATTTGAAATGTTTTAACCCAGATCCTTAATCAGAATGTCAAGGAATAGCTTCATATGAAATTTTAAACTTATCTGTATCAAAATTTTTACCACTTTTGCTGAAACACAAGGTATTAGGTAAGGTGTTTTCTCGGCTAAATAGACATTTTATCTGGAGAGTGAAAAGTACCAGCAATAAGAACAATATGAGTAGTAACTGTGAAAGATATGAACATATGAGGCATATAGTATGGTATGTGAGAACTAGTCAAATCAACATTTTGAGTACTGTCTTCTATTTTCTGTGGTGTCACATGTCCATTCCATCCCTCAAAACTGATGGTAAGTCACACATGGATATGGGCAAAATTCCACTCTGGACACCTCGCATTACATAGAGAATGGATTAAATCTTCTGGTACCGTACCATAGAAAATATCTTTTTGGGAGAGTGGTGAAGTTCACCATCCTCCAACCTAAACACCCCATATTACACAAAAGAAAAGAGAATGATAAATGAAACCACAAAAGATATTATCATCATTCACCTATTAGGCAGGTAAGTGTATCAGTATCGGCAAATGATGCTGCCCAGTGTAGGGGAGTGTTACGACTTAAAGGGTTGTCGTGGGAGTTGATGCTCAGCCCAGCAGCGACCAGTTGACACACACGACCAACACTACAAGAAAAAATAGAGGTACAGCAAAGATAAAAAAAATTCATTCTGAAACCTATCCCAATCTATACTAATCTAATCTAACTTATGCTAATCTAACCTAATATTGTACCTGTATATGCTAATCTAACCTAACCTAAAATTCCCTAATCTCAACTGAAAAGGGACAAAGTAAATACATATGTAAGTACCAGTTAGTAAAAATAAGTGCTTCTCACAAATGGCTGAGTATGTGGACCATCAGCTCACACTTCAGCCGGTACAGTATCAAGGACAAGCTAAGATGGGTGATATCAGTTCTGAAAGCCTGGGTGATATCTGACCAAGTGTGAGCTGAGTATAATCTGAGTCCAAGGACATAGGGTACTGTACAATGGCTACTTCAAAGTAAAATACCTGTATGAAAATTACCCTTTGATCAGAATAAGTTCAAGAACATCACATGAGAAAGAGTAACTATAATCATACAGTATCTATATGAGAACTACCATACAGGAAGAATAAAGCTGTGATGAGAGCAAGAGGGAGAATATACATAAGTGGTATTACTGTGAAGAACATGTAGAACAGAACAGTGGTTCCAAGAGGCATCCAGACATCAAACATAACATGGCACAATGGACACACACAGTAAACCTACGGTACCTGAAGAAGATTACAAACCTCCACTTATATCACCATAAGATTAAACACCCTAACACTAAATGAAGGTGTTAGGCTAGGTTAGGCTAGGTTAACATTAGGGTGTTTAAGTATCAGGTGAAATAAGCTGGAGTTCCTAATCTTCATGAAATCTCTTTGGTGAAATTAGTTCCAAAGGAAATATTCCAAGATATCTTGTAAGAATAAGAGGTTGAGTGTCAGGAGTTGATAACAAATGAATGTTCTTTACTCTGACTGAGCTGTGGCACGGAGCAGCTCCTCTGTAAAGATGGCGGTAATGGCGTGTGAGGGAGCCAACTGGAGGGCAGTGTTACCCTCACTATCCTGTACCCCTGGGTCAGCACCGAGGGCCAGCAATGCTCGTATGATATCTCCTCGACCAAGCTGAAAAAACATTTATTATGAGGAGGAATGATACAGACAAAAGGAGGTCTATTATTATTATATATACACAGAGTAAAAATTAATAACCACATTATATAAAAAATAAATAAAAATAGCCACAATTTATTTTCTACATATTCTCAACAAGAAGAATGAAAACGTCATCTTGACTATTCAAAAAGTAAATCAACGGCTAGTGACAAACTTATCCAGAAGCCAAGTGTACAGTGTTTGTCATCTGTATCGTGACAACTTTACCAACAAGACGTGACCAGTTAATCTGAGACAGACCCACAACTGACCATTACCTTTTAAGTAATAGCTATATAATTCAACCCACCTTCAGGATCGACACTTGTGGGCATGAGACGGAATAACAACAGTACAGTATAACACTTCCACAGGAAATAATTCTACTACCCTGCATATAGATAAAATCTCCACTAACCCTGACCTCACTTATCCAGACAGGGCTACCAACCTATACGATGATCTTCAATAACTTTAATAAATAGCTAAAAGTAAAAAGTAATGAGGGGCATCAATAAGGTACAGTACCTTAGCTGCCATGTGTAGGAAGGTGCCATCTTCTGTCGCCAGGGAGTTTATTAACTGTTGCCTCTCCTCTGTCCCACCACCATAACTTGCTGAAGACAATTATGCTTATATTAATGCATTTATGATTGTATTAGTGCATTTATGATTGTATTAATGAATTTGATTGTATTAGTGAATTTATGATTGTATTAGTAGAGTTGTGATTGTATTAATGAATTTGATTGTACAGTATTAGTGTACTGTATTTATAATTTATTAATACATTTATGATTGTATAGTAGATTTCTGATTGTATTAACGGATTTGGTTGTATTAGTGTATTTATGATTTATTAATGAATTTATAATTGTATTAGTAGATTTAAGATTGTATTAATGAATTTATGATTGTGTTAATGAGTTTATGATTGTATTATTGCATTTAGGAGTGTAATAGTGCATTTGTGATTGTAATAGTGAATTTATGATTGTAATAATGAGTTGATGATTGTATTAGTGCATTTATGAATGTATTAGTGTACGTATTTGTGATTGTATTACAGGTTGTACCTCTCTAGTCCGGCAACCTCGGGACCTGACCGGTGCCGGACCATGGGAATTCACCCTTTTCCTGGATAGATAGTGACTTGTGTTTACGCTTGGAAGCACTAGCACCACTTTCACTGCTTCGTGGTCTTTTTGAAGATATGTTGAAGGGTTAAATGTTGTACATTAGGTTCTCAAATTTGGGGAGTTTTTAATTCGAAGTTTTTTATTTGGACACAAAAAACCCACTATGCAATTTAAAATTTTGACGGCGGAAACTCGAATTTCGACGGGTTTGAGCGGCCCGCCAACGTTCAGACGTGCACAAATCGTGTAAACAGTGTTATTTCTCTTATGTACAAAAGATTCATTATTGTTTATTACTGAATGTCTTTTTGAATGAATAAATTTTATGTGTGCAAAATGAACAATACAATTCATTAATAATATGTAGAATATTAGAACACACGAGGAGAAGAGACGGCATTGTTATCGTTAATGTTTACAAAATCAGTGACTGATTGGTTCTACATATAAAACTGAAGAAAATAAGACCCTAGTTGTAGCTGTAGTAAAATTATTTTAATAAAATGAATATGGTTAATTTAAATAGTGTTATTTAATGTTAATAAAGGAACAATAAATATAGCTAACCATTAATGTAAAGAAAACAAGTGAGATAACGTATGTAAGTGAGCACATGTGAAAACCTTATTTGCTGTTCATATATATTTTAATTAATGTTTCTGAATTTAAAACAAAAATTCTACCCGCCAGTGGTGGTAAAGTTGAAAACATAAGGGCATCCAATGTTGTTGTGTGTGTTTTTACTCGGATGACATATGCTCAACTCTAGCTGAAGCTGTAGAACATAAGAACTTTTCTGTGTTGTTTTTAGTTTTTATTTAATTTTATGTGTTATTTTCGTTGGTTTATTAGGATGTTGCTTTATTACAGGTCGTAATTCGCCAAAAAAGTAGGGCAAATAAGGCAAAATTTAGCCAAACATCGAAAGTACCAGACTCAAATTAATTTTCTCCATGGGCAAACTAAAATCGTTCCGGACCACGGGATTTTCCGGACCACAGAATGCCGGACTAGAGAGGTACAACCTGGGTTGTAAATTTATGATTGTATTCATAATTCATGATTGTATTAGTGCATTTATGATTGTATAAATGCATTTATTATTGTATTAATGCATTTATGATTGTATTAATTTATTTGAGATTGTATTAATGCACTAATGATTGTATTAATGCATTGATGATTGTATTAATGCATTTATGATTGTATTAGTGCATTTATGATTGTATTAATGCACTTATAATTGCATTAATTTATTTATGATCGTATTAATCCATGACTGTGTTAATCCATTTAAGATTGTATTAATGCACTTATAATTGCATTAATTTATTTATGCATTTACAATTGTATTAAAGCATTTATGATTGCATTAATGCATTTATGATTGTATTAATGCATTCATGATAGTATTAATGCATTTATGATTGTATTAATTCACTGATAATTATAATCATATGATAACAATTATGGTCAGATAACTTCACAACACATGTTTATAAAAACATAAAGCCAATTACAATAAGGTACAGTAATGGGCTTATAGGGTGACAGAATATCATACACTATATCACAGTATACAGTACAGGGGCTATACATCATACACTGTACCTACAGTATCAAACACTACACTGTACTTATAACCAATTATAATTATTGTCCATTTTTTACTATAATAACTCACTCACACTAACAGAACAGTCAATCCACTAGTTTCTCCATTATCAATGTGTAATACAGGTACACTCACTCCAAAAAGTATCTAATAATAATAATAATTATAATTAACGGTTTATTGAAAGAGCTTGGCAGCCAGAAGGCTGAAAATATAAAGTTACATATTTGGGGAATGGGTTTCGAATTACAAATAATATACAAGTAACATAAGTGATACAAATAAGATATATAATAACTAGATGGGGAAAAGCTCAAACTACAGTGCATTTCAACATAGTGACAGTGCAAGAAGTAGTATTTACTGGGAGTGAATACACTGGTTTATACAAGTTATTGATAATTTTTACAATGGTTTGGGACTGGGCTGTTCTTATAGCGATCGGTTCGTTGCATTATGGGCTGGATCGCGGTTGTGGTGTCGAACAGCAATTCTCGGGCTAGGGATCTCAGGTGGTAGTAGGAGCCAGTGTAGGAGGATGGTGCAGAAGCTTCTTACCAAATTTGCAGATGAGGTCGTGGTGATGGTCAGTGAGAGTCGAAAGGGTCAGTGTGTTGAGCGCTTCTTGATATGTGGAGTAGGAAGGGGAGAGAATAATCTTGCATGCCCTCTTTTGCACTTTTTCTAGGTGTTTACGTTGTGTGGCATTTAGGAGGAAGACCAGGTAGGGGAGGCATAGGTGAGCTTGGGAAGTATGAATGTTGAGTAAACACTGAGGAGCTCGGTGCAGGAACTCCGAGGGACTTGAGTCGGCGGAGGAGGTGGAGACGGAAACTGGAGGATTTGACAACTTCACTGACGTGTGGTTTCCAATTTAGTTTGTTGTCTATGGTGACGCCGAGGAGCTTCGTGGAATCTACAACCTGGAGTGTGTTAGGACCTAAAGTAATGGAAGGAGGTGGGACAATGTCGGGAGGGTTGATGTGCATAACCATGGTCTTGGAATGGTTGATGGTGATGTGGTTGTTGGTGGCCCAGTTTTGGAGACTGTTCAATAAATCCTGAAGGGCGGTATAGTCGGGAGCAGAATTGTTGACGCTGATCCCAATGGTGGAGTCGTCGACATATTTCCAGCGAGCAGGGGTTTCTCTTAGGGCATCATTGATGAGCATAAGGGAAGCAGAGTGGTCCCATCTTGGTGCCTTGGGGGACGCCACAGGTGAGTGACTGAAAGGTGGAGACAGCCCCTCGGAAGCGTACAGCTTGGCGTCGGTCACTGAGGAAGTCTGTAAGCCATGGTATAAGACTTCTCCGAAGCCCGAGGTCAATAGCTTTGTTGATGATTATATTGTGGTCGACTAGGTCGAATGCTTTAGTGAAATCAATGAAGGCGACAGCTACAGACGTTTTTCGTTTCTCGAGATGGCAGTATATGTAATCGAGAAAGCTGACAAGACAGTGAGTGGTGGAGGAAGTTTTCATATTGCCAAATTGCTGAGGGTCTATGACTCCTGCAATATCAGCATAAGCCCAGTCGAACACAAAACTTTCACAGATTAGGCTGGGTATTGGGGTGATTGCAATAGGTCGTAGCTGATTTAAGGATTGTGGGCTGGTTGACTTGGGCACTGGTGATACATAAGAGGTCTTCCAGTCAGCTGGGCATCTGGCTTGACTGAGAGAAGCATTGATGATGGAGCATAGGGGTTTAGCAAGCTCCGGGGAGAACTCCTTGAAGAGTTTCATTGGTAAGTCAATGGGGGTGGTAGAGTGTTTTAATTTTAGTTTGTCCAGGCGTTTTGCTACTTCAAATTCTTCTACTAAGTCAGTGGGAAGGGGGGCTGGTAGGTAAGCAGGGAGAGTGGTTGTGTCAAGCCGGGGGAGCGTCTGGCATATAGTAGCGAAATGGTTATTTGATTGCTCAGCTGCGTCAACATTAGTGAGATGGCTAAGGAAGGGGAGGGGGTGTGTCTTATTGTTTAGTCCACAGAGTTCTTTAAGCTTACCATACCACTGACTGATGTTGGTCTGCTTCAGGTGTTGTAATTTGGTTGGGTAGTGGGACTTCTTTGCAGTGCGTATTTCGCGGATGACTCGGTTGCGAAGGGACCTGTAGCGGATGTGGTCATTGAGATGAAAGGCTCTGTCTCTCTGTTGCATAAGTCTTTTGATCCGAGGTGTGATCCAGGGCAAGTCAGCTGGGTGAGATCTGACGGACTTCTCGGGGAAAAAGTGGTGGTGAGCTTCCGTGGTGGTGTTGGTATAATTTATCCATTTGGTTTCCACGTCATCCATGCTAAGTACTTCAGTCCAGGGATGGTGAACTATCCACTGCCCGAAGAGGTGCACTGCAGAGTCAGTAATCGGCCTGTAGGTCTTGATGTAGGGTCTCTGTACTTGAGTGGGAGTGGCAGCTGGGGACCAGAGCACTGATAAGTGTGTGCTACACCCGATAGGAGGCATTGGTTGAGGTGGTTGGTTCTGGTCCGCTAAGTCAGTTAAGATAAGGTCAAGGGTATTTTGACCATGTGTTGGGAAGTTCACAACTTGTGATAGTGATAGCTAGTCCTGGATATCAGTGGTGTCAATTTCATTATAATCCCCACATAATACTAACTTGGCACATGGGTACCTAACTCTGAGGTGGTCTGAGGTGGTAATGAGATGATTGATAAGAGTGTCTCTGGTGGGTGAGCGCGGCGGATGGTATGCCACACAGATTATGATGGAAGCAGTGAGGCGCGGGTGGGCCCGTGGCACAACACGTACCCATAATGCTTCCACATCTGCTGGGACTTGAACATCCAGGCGTGACGGGCGTAGGTCATCTTGACAGAAGAGGGCAACGCCCCCTCCGCATCTATGTGAACGAAGGTGATGAAAGAGTTAATATCCCTCAATATGACACGTTTCAGGCACAATTTGCCAAGCCTCACATATGGCAACGACGCTCGCGGCGGCTGACCAGACTGTAGTTGCCAGCTCGTCAAACTTGTTAGCTAGGGAGGTGACGTTGGATAGCAGTAGAGACGGGAGATCATACCATATCCATGGAACTTCAGTGTAGTGGTACGGTCTGTCAGGGGTGGGTTTCTCCGGTTTCCTAGTGGAGGTTACGGTCCTAATGGGCTTATGTGTATGACGGCCCTGTCTACGGCTACGCGCGTGGAATATGTTCAGCGACTTGAGTCGCGCAATAACACTGCCATCAGGATAACCGTTCCCACGCTTTAGATGGTACAGAGTGCGTAGGGAGTAAGTGATTGGTGGCCATCTGTTGATATCTGTTGTGGCCGGACGGAAGTGTTTGTCTCTGGTGGCCATAATGTCACTGACGGCACTTTGAGGGCCACTGACACTGGTAGACATCTGTTAATATTTGTCAGCCGTAAAGACCGTGGGTCTTTGTCCCTGGTGCTTGGGGTCGCCGACACAGTTTTCACGATATATGTAAACACCGCGGTGGTCCTTGTCACTGGCACTTTGAAGGTGACCGATAAAGTGCCCACTGTCTGACTTTTCCTTGGGGTGCACTATCGGAGCACTGTATGATAATCACTTATTGCACTGATGACTTGAATGTTTTGCTGAGAAAGTCCCGGTCAGGTTAGGTTGGGTCCAGTCACACTCAGTATTACACTGCTGTGCTTTTGTGCTTTTCCTTAAGTGCACTATAGGAACACTGCTCGGTAATCACTAGAATGTTTTGCCGAATAGATCCCGGTGTAGTAAGGCTGGTAGGGCGTTGGGATATAGCAGGGGGAGGGGGCAGGGCCAAACAGACTCGGCCTGGCTGCTAAAACCGGGAGCGCCTTCGGGGCACGTCTTGTCTCACCGACGGTTGACAAGTGAACAATTTTGTGTGAGACATTATGACACAACAGATGAAGGATTTTGACAACTCTACCGAGACAACAGGAGTCACAGTGTTCATTCTGAAACTCATCAGACCCCTCCGTAGAGATACAGGAAGGTTGATCGGGTTGCGTGGACAAACTACCCAACACTCTTTACAGAAAATACTCAAGACCTCAACAAAATACTGTATGGCATGCTAAATTATATGTTCCAGCCAGAAATGCTAAAAAAAAAAAAAAAAAAATCACAGCTACAGTATCTTCCATCACCATCATGTATCTGCTACGGTATATCCAGCATGTCCACTAAATTACTGTAACACATAATATGCAAAAAAAAATCCTACTGTACTTGTATGATAATAAAACTACTTTGGGAAGATAAATATCTATTTTTTGGATCATCTAAAGATTACACACCCCAGCTTATTTCACCTAAATATTAACCACTCTAATCCTAGCCTAAACTACCCCCCCCCCCTAAGTAGCTGTAGGGTGACAAACCTTCAAGTAAAATAACCTGGAGGCTCTAATCATCTGGTAATCCATTTTTTCTTTCCCCAAAACACAAAAAGAACACTTACACACTTCACAGGCATCAAGTAGTTTTCTGAAGATGTCTGTACGGCCAGCCTTGAGAGCCTCCTTGATGCTGTCCACAGCACCAGCCAGACCTGGTGGTACTCGGTCCTCACCCATATCTGACACCAACACCGAGGTCTGGAGAATACAGATAATATTTATAACTTCTAAACGGTTCCCACTTCAACCTCTATACAGTACTACACATCTCTTTCATGAATTACCGGCTCTCATAATGATTAGGAACACCCATTTATTTCACCAAATGATTAAACGCCCCTATATTAAATGGGGGTAGGGTTAAGTTAGATCAAATTTAATTAGGTTACAGTAAATTAGATTACGTTTGATTAAGTTAGGTTAGGTTAAGTTAGGTTAGGTTAGGTTAAATTAGGATAGATTAACCCTTTCACAGCGTGTCACGCACTTACCATTTTATTCTGGCTACCGCCAGACGATTTTATTCATCTTAGGGTGACCTCGCACTGTGAAAGGGTTAAATTAGGTTTGGCAAGTACTCGGGTGTTTCATCACCAAGTGAAATAATTGGGGGTTCTAATCATCATGAAATCTAAATAATCTCCCACACACCAAACAACACACATTTTCTGAGTACATGTACTGTCACTTAGAATCCATTAAACACATTCATGTGATGTAAAAAAAACTTGCCTGTCCTGTCAGTGCTTAATAATAATAATTGATATTCAGTCAATTTAACCAAGGATAGCTGACAAAGCCAAGAGAAGCTTGTTTCCAGTAGAGCCAGTACGCCAGTAGCATGTGGTGTTCTTAAGGCCAGGCGGTCACCCATCCAACCAATAACCAGGCTAAAGTATGACAACACTGCTGCCACCAGAAGAAGTTATTCAATTTCGTTCATTTTACACAGATGTTCTTATTATTATAGTAAGTACTTTAAGAGATGTGACATTTACTAGAACCTAATAGAACCTAACCTGACCTAACCAACCAAAGAAGCCTACCTAACCTCCTAGCCTTGGGGTGGAGCCCTCCAGACCCCCCCCCCCTCCATCATATTACACAGAAAGTACTTATTTTGATATCTGGTACAATTGAAAGCATGCAGAAACATCATTTTAGTGTCATATAATCAGTTTTTCCCAGCAATTTTCCTCATCCTTCATGCCCTGCACATTACAGGTGATTTATGATAATAGATAACAAAATTAACAATTAAAAATATTTATATTTAAAATAAAACTTGTTGCCTATTTTAAAATTCTTATTAGAGTGATTCAAACATCTGTGCCAAAAAATTAACAAAATCGTAGAAATCATCCTGGTGGTAATGCTGTTCTCAAAAATTACCCTCACTAGATCCAACATTGCTTCAGTCAAGTATTAAAACCCTTTACACCTGTGCTGTACCTCACAGTAACCTAACAACCTGTATCATAACCCTTTATAACTATGCTGTTCTGTACTACACTAACCAAGGGTGGATTCAGGGGGTCCTGGGGGTCGGACCCCCCTTTTCACCAGAAAATTCCAATACCTTTTCATTAAATTAGCACTCTACTGTACTCAGGCGTTTTTGCATCATAAAAAGTAATTACTAATGATCTCAGAATATCTCCTAATATCAAGAGCACGAGGCTCCAAAATTGCCTCAAAATGAAATTAGTCAAATTAAAAAAAAATTATGGAGGTTTACGGCACCCCCGCTCCCCCACCAAAAAAACCCCCCACCTCGCCATGTTCCCCCACCCACAACTTCTTGGACCCCCCTCTGATATTCCTGGATTCGCCCCTGCTAACCTATTACTGTTGAGAGGTTCCTGCATACTGTCAGAAATCATTGAGAACTTTTAGAGACATGGCAGGACAGTGGACACGTCTACATTCAAGTGCTAGAGGTGCCTTAGACCATAAGTGCCTTAAACCATAAGTGCCTTACACCATGAGTGCCTTAAACCATGAGTGCCTCTAGCCTCTCATTAACCAAACGAGGGTCACTGAACGAAGCCTTTTAACAACTTATCTACCTCTAACACAACACCTCTATACTACCTCTTACTCTAGTGATATCTACGGGTGCGTGGTTGTGACCGGGTACTGTCAAGACACATTAAAACACACTTGAGACGAGAGACGAGGATCACACGTCAGCTGGGAGCCTCACACGTCACCTACCACACTACTTAATACACACACTTTATCTTATTTCTCCTTTCTCTTGATTTTAGTACATTATTATCTCATACTAAACAATATAATAACCATTATAAAATATTATATAGTAATTTTTTGACCTAATATCAAAGGAAATGCGTTATTGAAGGTTTTATATATGAATTAAAAAACAATTGGCATCCCAGCAGGTGTAAACATGAGGTATCCGGACAACACTCACAATATTTTCTTTAACTAATCAATAAATTATCTTATTTTTAACTCACTTTCATGGAAAATTTTAGTATTTTATACTAAAAATAATAATAATGATTTAATCACATTATTTATAACCAACATTAACATCATCATTAGTGTTTAATATGTCGTAAAATAGTCAATAAACATACTCGGACAAAGTCATTAAGCCAAAGATAACGTGGCCAATAAATTAATAATATATTTATCCTTATACAAAAGCAGACCATTTTTGGTGAATTTGTTATCACCTTAACTTAGTTCGATGATGCAATATCCTTCATTAACCGCTCTTAGATATTTATTATTTCTACCCTTTTCAACTTAATTATACAATTCGTTCACTGTCAATTCATATATTTTACTTATTATATCTTTAGCTAACTTACATAATATCTCACCTCTTACTTCCTTACTTTATTTTTTTTGTATGCTCAGTTATTAACATTTCATCCTCCTTCAACCTGTCAACCTGCCAGAGAGTGGAGTATGTAGGGGTATGAGATATTGGTTCACACTCAGGATGGGATGGAGAAAGGAAACTCACAATGTGCTCACTGTATACATATTGTATTGGATGTACAATGCAGCTTGTTGCTGGGTAGGTAGCATGGTAATAAGCATTGAGTAGAGAGAGCTGGGTGGTGAGGGTGCCCAGAGTGAGGGTACGCGGCTTGAGGGACGCCAAGGTCGCTGGCGGGAACGGCAGCCGCCAGGCTGGCACGGAGGAGGAGGTGTTGCTTGCTGGTGGCACTGGGTAGAAAGAGAGTGGTCACAGCGGTGTCAGGCCTTATAAGGCGGGGGTAGGCGTGGGTAGATAGTTGACCCCCGCTCCGTGGGCGGCGCTGGAGGCGTAGGCTGGGGAATTCGAGAAGGTTCGGTGCTTGTAGGGGAGGAATCCACTACAATACTCCCCTTCCCCTCCGGGCGCGGCGGGAGGCTGGAAGTTGGCAGAGTTGCGGGTCACATGTAAGGCAGAACGGGCGGTGCATGCCACATGTGGGACATAACGGCGAGGGCGTGGATGAGCCGGCCGCTAGGAGGGGGGCAACTCTGTCTAGATACACGAGATCTGTGGGAGAAATGAGAGAGAAGGAGGGTTGTGGAGGCGATGAATGTTGTGCTTCCCTCGCGACAGGTACAGAGTCCTCAGATGCGCCTGCTGGGGTGTGTGGACCTGGGTCAGGAGCAAGGGCTGCGTCAGCAGGAAGAGGGTCCATGACAGCAGCAGGGTGCATGACAGCAGCAGGGTCCACGACAGCAGCAGGGTGCAGGACAGTAGCAGGGGGTACCTGAGAGAGAAAAGAGGGGTGTGTGGGTCCGCGTCAGGAGGAGCGGCAAGGGGTACTGCTGGGCCGGGGGCGGCGTCTGAGGCAGGACGGGTGTGTTGGGGTCGGTAAGACGTGGTGCTTGGGGCAGGAAGAGGAGCGGCTGTCTGCTTAGAGTAGCAGAGCTGCTCTAGGGTGTCTAACCTGCGGTGTAGAGACAGTAGTTGTAGAGCCGATGAAAGCTGCCTCTACGTGGGTAAGCCAGTCTTCCATGTTGCTTGAAGACTGGGAGAGTGATCAGTTTCTCCTCCAACCTGTGTCAGTGGTCACTCCGGGGTCACCAATTGTAGGGTTATGAGATATTGGTTCACACTCAGGATGGGATGGAGAAAGGAAACTCACAATGTGCTCACTGTATACATATTGTATTGGCTGTACAATGCAGCTTGTTGCTGGGTAGGTAGCATGGTAATAAGCATTGAGTAGAGAGAGCTGGGTGGTGAGGGTGCCCAGAGTGAGGGTACGCGGCTTGAGGGACGCCAAGGTCGCTGGCGGGAGCGGCAGCCGCCAGGCTGGCACGGAGGAGGAGGTGTTGCTTGCTGGTGGCACTGGGTAGAAAGAGAGGGTGGTCACAGCGGTGTCAGGCCTTATAAGGCGGGGGTAGGCGTGGGTAGATAGTTGACCCCACTCCGTGGGCGGCGCTGGAGGCGTAGGCTGGGGAATTCGAGAAGGTTCGGTGCTTGTAGGGGAGGAATCCACTACAAGTACAGTACTTTTACTCTTCATCACTGATCGGCTCGTTAGCCGCTTGGGCGATCGGTTATGTCTCTGTTACGCACTGTTGGCAAGTAGTGGCATGCACCGGGTCCTTAATGTACCTGAACCTGCTCCAGTGTTGGTCAAGTCTGGTCTTGAAAGAGCTCACACTCGGTGCCGCCACAACACTCTCTGGTAGATTGCTCCAAGAGTTTACAACCCTCACTCCGAAAAAGTTTGCCCTCACAGTTTTCTAGACCTGCTGCTTCTTCAATCTTGAGCTGTGACCCCTTGTGGGGCGAGCGTCCGCCAGCTCCAAGTAAGGACACTCAACTGAGTAGTGCCCCTTGAGATGCTTATAAACCTCAACTAGGTCCCCCCTTGCCCGTCTGTAGTATAAGCTAGGCAAGTTCAGGCGCTCCATCTCTCAGGGTAGCTGAGGTGCCGAAGTGCAGGCACCAGTCTGGTGGCCCTCCTTTGAACATTTTCAACCAACTGACAGTCCCTAGCATATCTCGGGTACCAGATGGGGTGACAGTACTCCAGATGGGGAAGCACTTCACTCTTGAAGATCGTTACGAAGGACGGACTGTCTAGATATCTGAACGACCTTCTTATAAAACCCAATAATTTATTTGCCTGATTTACCTTCTGGAAGTTGATGAATGGACAATACAGTTCATAACAAAATAACAAAGACTAGACCAACCGGTCGATCAACTAAACAGCTTTAAATAAATATTGATATTATAAAAAATAATGAATGAGGTCAAATATGTTATATACAGTACAGTAGTACAGTACAGTACAGTACATGTGAGGCGCAGGGAGAAAGAGAATATAAAACGTAAACAAACAGCTGAGCCTCAGTCGCCTCACCAAGACCTGTTGTCTGTTGTCTTCCCCGCCACTGTCTGTCACCCACCACAAGTAAGGCCACGTGTACAGATAAGGACAATATATTTATTGTGAGATAAGTGAGAATACAGATATAATACGTGATATTTGCTGCGTATAGATTGTCTCATATATACGTGGCTAATAAGTTACTGAAACCATTGAGAAAATTTTGTTTAATAAATCATTGCAGACAGTCACAGGTACCACAGAACAGGAAGAAACGTCTGTCAATTTATAGTAAAGGACATGAATCGATTTTTTGTTTCCAATAAGTTCAGACAAAAACGAGATGATTTTCTTCTATGACACTTTTTTGCATATTTTACCCATAACTGAGATATCGGGAGCTGAAAATCGCTGATTTTTCATAGAAAATCGATTTTGGTAAAGAACAAAAGAATGGAGGAAACTGCAGCGGGCCTATTGGCCCATACTAGGCAGCTCCATTTACTGTACACCCAACCCCTATCGCTCATATATCCATCCAACCTATGTTTGAAGCTATCCCGCGTATTCGAGTTAATGATGACATTTGGTAACTTGTTCCATTCATCCACTACTCTGTTTCCAAACCAGTGTTTACCTATTTTGCGCTTAAATCTAAATTTGTCTAATGTAAAACCATTGTTATGAGTTCGTTCCTGGTTGGATAGTTTGAGTACCTTTGTAATGCCCCCTTTGTTTAGCCCTGACTCCCATTTATACACCTCGATCATATCGCCCCTCACTCTACGTCTCTCGAGGGAGTGCAACTTAAGATGCTTTATCCTGTCTCTGTATGCAAGGTTACTAATACCCGGGATTAGTCTTGTCATTCTCCTATGAATTCTTTCTAAGGATTCTATATCCATTCTGTAATACGGTGACCAGAATAGAACTGCGTAATCCAAGTGAGGTCTCACAAACGCAAGATATAGTTTTAGGATGACCTCGCTAGTCTTGTAACTAACACTCCTTTGTATGAATCCAAGTACTTTATTAGCCTTGTTTCGAGCAAATACACTTTGTTTACTTGGCTAAAGATTCCTACTTAACATTATTCCTAAATCTTTCTCGCAGTCGGATTTCTCAATAACATCGTTGGTCATCTGGTATCTGGTTTCCCTGTTTACATCTCCTAGGCTGAGTACTTTACATTTGTCCACATTGAATTTCATTTGCCATTTTTCAGACCATTCAGAAAATTTGTTTAGATCTTCCTGTAGTTTTGCGAAGACCTCGTCATATTTAATTACACGCATTATTTTAGTGCCATCAGCAAATTTACTTAAGTTGCTGTCTACGCCGATATCTATGTCGTTTATGTATACAGTATAATAAATAATAATGGTCCAAGTACTGAGCTTTGGGGAACTCCACTAGTGACGTTGCTCCAAGCGGATTTAGTGCCGTTAAAGTTCACTCCCTGTTTCCTGTCCTGTAACCACGCCCTAATCCATTTTAGAATATCTCCTTTAATGCCATGAGCCTCCACTTTTCTTATTAGTCTTTCGTGGGGGACTCTGTCGAAGGCTTTGCTAAAGTTGAGATATACCACATGATAATTGTGCCCCTCGTCCACTGATTCAAAAACAGATGAAAAGAGTGTTAATAGATTAGTTATATATGAACACCCGCTTATGAAGCCATGTTGAGATTCATTGATCATCTTGTGCTTCTTCAGGTGTAGAAAAGTGTGACCACCAGAAGGAATTGTCCAAATTGGTTGAAATTTTTTCTACACACTAATGCATAGAACCTAATAGAACCTGACCTAACATACCCAATCTATTGGTTTGTTAGGTCAGGTTCTATTAGGTTTTATGCATTATCGTGCTGATTTGATATATATCAGCAATGTCTAGGAGGAATACGTGGAAGCGTTCACCATCATTTAGGAAACTTCATTTTGAAAAGGGATTCAGTGAGATAAACAGCAAAAATGGCCTCAGGAGGAGAATTCTGAAGCATGATAGAGTAAATAAATAAAATCCTAAAAAATATTTAGAATTATAATAGAAAGTTGTCTTGTCTTTTAATATATTTAAAATCATCAAAACAATAATTAAAGCAAAAATAAAAAAAATCAACAAACAACTTTTGGTGGTCACCCTTTTCAACACCTTTACCACGAATTTAAACACTCCACAATTTCACTGTTTAATAATGGACACTGTCATAGTTATGGCAAATGTGTTAAAAAGTGTTTATTCAAAAGTTCAAGTTAACCTAACCTAACTTTAAACTAAACTAACCTAACCTAGCATAACTTAACACCTGCTGTGGGCAAACTTACTGTTACTGAGATGGGGGAAGTGGCTGTGAAGCCCTCCATATTAGCCGCTACTGGAAAAACTATGGTAATTTATGAGGAAACCGCTAGTACCAGAACGAGTTGCTCGATTTTGTTAATTTCTTCCACATATGTTCTTTGGATGATAATAAGTATTTGGGAGTAGACATCTGGCTAAGTTCCTACTAATGCTATTTTACCATGAGTGCACTCTGATTGGCTAATCGTACATTACTGGGGAGCAACACAAGAATTATATTTGATCGTGACTCTGGCAACATTTGGCATATATTTTGCCGTGAGTTGATCGTTGTGTAGCTGTGAAAATATTGATACCTGACCGTATTTCTGTTGTGCATGGAAACTTATCATTATAAAAGAGAAGACATTTATGAGAATCTTATAGAACCTGACCTAACCAACCAAAGAAACCTACCTAACTTCCTAGCCGGGGAGCAGACCACCCGTCTGTCATGGTTTTGGGGTGTATCCGTGGTAGTAGGAGTGGATTATATTATATAAAGATAATAATATGTCGTATTTCTTATTTCTTGCCGTAGAGTTTGTTACCTTCACACTGATTACTTACAGGAGATTATGGCGTATCTACGTAGAAGTTCACTCCACCACTCGACATTCCATGATTTATACTTGATAAATGATGATTTAATGGATTCATTTAATTTTCAACATCTATCTAAGTTACTGGTTATACTTTGTCATAACCAATCAGTCATTACCTTCAGTAATAATAAGATAGGATCACAGATACGTGCAGATAATTGCACTTACATTTATTTGTCAAGCTTCCATACAATGATTTACAATTTGCATGGATATATGATTCACTCACGTTCACGCTGTAATAAAATTAATCTTCTAAAAGAGAATTTTAACTTGGGGACACATGTGATTACTCTACTATGGGTATAACTTAACAGAGCCTTAATTCTTCAAGTGATACATTTACTGCCAGCCTGGATTGCTTTTGTTGCAACCAGGCTTCCGCACAAGGACTTCTTTCCACGGGCCACAGCAACAAAAAGTACTCTTGGGTTACCACGCATGGTGTCGTGCAGGAGAACTCTGTAAGCGTGACTTGAATTAACCATCTAGGTGCAATAGACCAGCCTGGATTGCTTTTGTCGCAACCAGGCTTCCACACGTGATATTTCCACGGGGATAACAACCTAGGTTAACACACTTAGTCTCGTGTCGATCACGGTCACGGTAGACGGGTGTCGTGCAGGAGAACTCTGTAAGCGTGAATTAATTAACCATTTACTGTAGGTTTGATAGGCCAGCCTGGATTGCTCTTGTCGCAACCAGGCTTCCACACGTGATATTTCCACGGGGATAACAACCTAGGTTAACACACTTAGTCTCGTGTCGACGACGGTTCACAGGACGGAGTGCGGTGGAGGACTGTGTGGTGTGGTGCCCCGCTCCCTTTCAGGAGGGAGAGAGTCAAGACGACTTCTTCACTAACCCATGGCTCAGGGGATACTACTTAAAATGAGGTTTTTGGGTGTGAAGCGATGAACAGTACAACACTGTTTCACTGCCCACCCCCCTAAAGGCTGGCTAACATACACTAATTGAAAAATACATGTCCCAGTTATGCCTCGCCGGGCGTCTTATCTCTGGTAAAACAAACTTTGGAGTTGGTTGCGTGGGTAAGCCTAACACAACCCATGACACCGTCATATAAACAGAAAATACTTAAGGCGTTTTAGATGCACGGAATAGCTAACGTGTTAGCTCTCCTGGACTGTCATTAAAAAATACGACATTTGTACCGCATCTTGGGAATAAACTGTTGTACAACACAGTCTTCAGATAACAATAAAATTAGGAGAACTTATATTTGGACACAATATGGAAGGAAATAGTGAAGAAAATATATATAAAATTATGGAAAGAAAAACAAAAAAAGATAAAAAGTTAATCAGTCAACAATAAATAAGAATAACATAAAAAATTGGACCCGTTGTAAAGGTAATTTCTCCCGGACTCTGAAACCGCACTACATGTTGTCTCTCCCGGCTAGGTGTTCGCATATTTACACACGAAGTACGAAGAATTTCAGGTTCGTTTGTCTTAATTTATGCATTTACAGAACTGTAATCAACTTGTTCACCCTTTTTTAAAGTATCTTATGAGTAATGATATTATGGTTTCAATCATATTTGAGAAATTATAAATATTGTTACACCAAAGTCACCAACGGCTAATGAAATCGGACAGCGCCCACTTAAAAATGGACGGAGCCAAAACAGGTTTCAACTCGGCGCAATCCTTTTCAAATTTTTCATGCCATACGCTTTGTTTTAGGTCCTATCCAATATACTACCGTATATAGAATTATTTTTATTACTGTATCAGTTTTTTATTGCCTTGTATGTCCTCAACTCTTCAATATTAATAAAAATATTCTCCATAAGCCATGATCCATGTATTTACCCACTGATTGGTTGTCAGCTTTTCGGGCGCTGCACACGCTAATGCCTGATCAAGGTGTTTGATTTTCCCTCTCAAGGTGTCCTGCGCAGTACTCAGCAGTAGTGTCTGCGCAGACAGAATAGCTAACGTGTTAGTTATTCTGTGCATCTAAAAAGCCTTATAATAAATGCCTTTAGTCAATGAGAGTGCACTCACGGCAAAATATCCACTCCGTAAGTATTTTATGTAATGTATGAGAACACTGCTGCCACCAGAAGGAGTTCAATTTCGCCCATTTTGCCCCTAGATGTTCTTA